CCTTCCTGGAAGACCAGCAGTGTTGGCTGCCATCAGCCCACGGTGGTCTGCAGATGGGGGCCTTGAGAAGCAGGTCGCTTGGGGGGGCACCACACCTCCCTGTTCTCCTTTGCTCTCCTCTCCCCTCCCCCCCTTGGACTGCTGCGTCCCCCCTTCTGCGCCCCCTGAACTCAGGACGTCTTCCTGGAGGATCTGGAAGGGCAGATTTTGTCTTGGTCTTGCATGAGAAGCTTTGAGGCGTCCCGGCTTCCGGACGCCTCTCTCTGACCCGCCAATGGCCAGGGAGGGTTGGCCCCGTCTCTCCCCACTCTGCCCTGCCCTCCTCCCACCAGGGCCCAGGAATGCTCTCCCCCCACGTGCAAACAGCAGATGGGCAGAAAAGCACGGATGGCCAAGGAAGGGAGCAGGAGGCCTCCCCCAACCTGGCAGAGGGGAGCCAGTGGGGACAGAAGCCTTTTTCCCATTTCCCTACATGGTCATCATCATCGCTGTGTGGAACCTGCATGCTCAGAGGCAGTCTACCTCCCACCACCAGCCGCTGGGAACAGAAGCAGAAGGCACGTCCCGCTTCATTCCCCGCTTACAGGCTTCCAGAGGCACATAGACTGCCTGCTGTTGGAAACAAGGCCCTGGTCTGATCCAGCGTCGCGGCTCCTAGTCCCTCGGCGCTGAGACCCCCATCTCACCTTCAGGGCATTTTCCTCGGGGGGGAGCACTCATGCCTCCTGCGCCAGCGCCACACCTGCTGCAAGGGCCTGACAGCCGCCCCCGACCATCCTGCCCCCCTCCCTCCAAAACCCGCACCTCGGCACTTGGTGCTCTCCTCCGAGGGCTCGAAGCCCGCAGCGCAGGTACAGTCCGTGATGGCCTGGTCGGCCCACTGCCCATCCTCCCGGCAGTACATGCTGAGCGGGCGGGAGCTGGTCTTGATGGCGTTGGCCACGCACTGCCCGGTGACCGGCATGACCAGCTCCTTGGGCACCGTTTCCTGGAACAGCGTGAAGTTGACGGTCACGGCCGGGCACTTCTTGTAGAAGAGCCGCACGGAGAGCAAGGCCATGCAGGCGCCCTGGTCCTGGAAGGCCAGGTAGAACCCGGCCTTGGAGAGCGGTCCAACGCGGAGGGTCTTCACGTTCACTTTCCCGGAAGCCTCCATGCCCGCCCGCTTCCGGGTGAGGTGCTCAGCCGCCACTGTGTCCACCTTGACGTAGGGGTTCTCCATCCAGGGCGGGAAGGTGGCCGAGGCCAGGTCGGTGTCGGCCTCGTAGAAGAAGACGTTGAACGTTTCCTTGCACGCGCGGGTGACCTGCGGGATGGAGAAGCACTCCACCACGGTGAAGCGCAGCTCGGCGTAGACGTAGGTGGCGCCCGAGCGGGGAACGAAGGTGGTCCGGAGCCAGTTGTTCTGGTTGGGCTGGCGGACGCCGCACACCTCGAAGGTCCGCACGCTGTTCTGCTCCTCGTCCAGCCCGCTCAGCTCCTCCCACTGCCGAGGACAGAGGCCGGGCGGGTTAAGGGGACGTGCCGAGTCCAGAGCCCCGCTGCGCCTATCGGGTGAGCGAGCAGCGAAGCTGCTTCCCCCAGAGCAGGGCTGGACGGCGGGAAAGCGGAGCGGGACAATCGGGTGGGTGGCTCTGCCGGATCCCCAAAGGCCACCGAGCCAGGGTGCTTCCCAAACCAGCCCCCCAGCCCTCGGTCCCAGGACCTGGTCTTGGGAGACAGGCTGCCCTTAGGAACGATCGCTGGCCGGCCCCTTCCTTGGCCTACTGCCTGACTCTTCTTCGTCCCTGGCCACCGAGGGAGGCAGGGCAAGGTCCAGGGAAGACAAGCAGGAGGGTGCTGGGCTGGCCCCTCCCGCCCCCCTTACCCATTCCCTCACCAGAATCAAGTCCGCCCAGGGAGCCTGTATTTCTACGAGGTACGCCTAATTTCTAGGTCTTTTCGGCAGCGGGGGATGCCCACGGGTCACAGGAAACGGCACCCTGATGTCCTGGAGGTTCAGAGATGCGTGACCTCCCTGGGTGGGCCCAAAGCAGCCAAGAGTTTTGCCCTGAAAGGGATCGCTTGACCCGACCGGCAAAGTAGGACGGGGGGATCAGGAGGAGCCACCGGCAGGGAAAAGGGAATTCCAGATGCTAAGCCTTATCTTCCCAGTCCGGAGCAGCTTAAGTCCGGGACAAGGGTCCAGGTTCTTCCCCAGCAAACCTGCCCCAAGACTGCAACCCCCAGGACACGGTTACGGTCATCCTGGGCGGCGGGTAACCCGTTTACAAATTCCTGTGACAGATTCTGAAATCAGGCGGTCAGTAACTGGGGAGGGACCTCCAGAACTGATCTCCCCCACCCGAAGGACCGTGTTGGCGAAGGATGATGGGCCTCGTGGTGCCTCCAGGGTCGCAACTCAACTCTGATTTCCTCCCAGCACTCAGGCAAAAACATTTTCCCTCGACTGGTTCTTTTCAGGGTGAATAATTCAATTTGAGCTGGAATTTGCTAGGGGTGCTGGGGCTGTATGAATTCTTTGTTCCAGGCAGGCCTTTTGTATTTCTGAACAGCTCTGCCCAAAAGCTGCTTGGAGGGAACTAAACCCGTGAGAGAGGGTTTAGGAGCGCCTTTGCTTACAAGGTTGCCCCTTTAAAAGCACAGGGATTTTTCCATCTACCGTCTTTCCTTCCCTGCCAGGATGAGAATAACCACTAACTTCACCTCCCTGCACCTTTCTTGTTTCTGATACAGCAGGAGAGCTCTTTCTGCTCTTTCAAAACCAACGGGCCGGATCGGAGCTGACATTTATTCTTAATAAATGGGACTGGTAGATGCTGGGGCTGACTGACGGTTTAAGTTGTCTAAGATGGGGCGGGGGGGGGAAGGAGGGGCAAGAGTATCTGCCACACCCTTAAATGATGCCCATGGTCCCCACCCCCATCTGAACTTTCATTAAAAATGTCATTAAATTGTGTGGTGATCTCTTGCAAAACCTTACGTGAAAATGCAATCATCCCTCGGGCTAAATGCTCACCATTTCTCTTAAAATGTGGAGGGAGGTTCAAAAAACATGCCTTGCCAAATTTGGCAATTGCACACAATCTGGGGAGGTTATTTATTTCTCGGGCACCTGCGTTGTTGTGTAAATCCCTCAACTGCCGATCCTTGCCTTAATGCCAGATTTTTCCCAACCATCCCCCAGATAGAATGGACTGCAATTTCCATCATTCCCAGCCCCCGTGGGAGAGAAGCCAAAGACACAGTCCGGTGTCCGCTTTCCAAGATTCTTTTTGCCCCTCACCTGGCCATCCTCGGTGGGGTAAGTTGTCCATTTTAGGTCGGCTGTCTCGAACTTGGTGTTCATGAGATTTTCTAAAAGAAGGAGAGAAGAAAGGCTGAGTGCCATCCACCCGGTGTTGGCAGTCCCTGCCCCTGCCCCTGGGTACCCAGGACAGAGGGCAAAACCTACGGAGGGTTTCATGGGTAGAAAAGGCGGATGCCAAGACAAGGGCATCCTCACCCAAAGATAGGAATTTCAATTGGAAGCTCAATTGTAATGCGAAATTGTGCCTCTTAAAAGCCTAACCAGATTTGAAAGGTTACTTGAGCAGCAGTGGGTGGCCAAAAAAGTCAGGGGGTTTTGGACTGCACCCTGCAGACACCCCCGGTTGTGTGAACACATTACGGTCTACTGAGATTACTATGGTCTTGCAAGGCAGAAAAGAGAGAAAAACGCTTCGAACTTGGAAAGAAGCAGACTGCCACCTTGGTCCAAGCAGGGGATACCCCCTCTGCCTTCGCCCGCTTGGCATCCCTGCCTCGTGGCCCTTGCCTCACCCCCTCCCCAAGAAACGAGTGAACGAATCACCAGGGGATAAAGCTTTTCTTGGTAGAACTGCCAGGTCATGGAGGCCTCTCTGAGGTTAGACAGCGGTGTACATACATGCAAATCCTGAATATTTACTTTACGCAATTCTATTTATATTCCTCAACCTCGACTTCATCTGCAAAACTCCCAGGACAAATTGCAATACAATTTGTACTGCATTCACACGACCCTTTCTCTCGTTACAGCATTCACCCACTTTCTGGGTTCCCACGATGTATTGAGGCACGAGGCCGGATCTGCCCGAAGGGGGACTGGCCGTAGTTCGGCCTTACAAAATCAAGCCTGTTTGTCGAATGCAGCCGGGACACCTGAGCTGGCAGAGATTTCTTTGGGGAGGGGGCAAGAAACCAAGTCAGAAACGGTCTATGAGAGTGTCCGCCCCCCCCATCCTAGATTGTTGTACGCCGCCCAGAGTCACTTCTTGTGAGATGGGCGGCTATAAAAATGTGATAAACAAAATAATTAGCTAAATAGATTAAAAAATCCTGCAAAATTCCCTAAGGCAGTGTGATTGCACAGCGAAACCACGAAGGCTACAGCAAATCTGCTTGTGGGGCATTTACATGGAGAACGAAAACGCCTTCCTGTTCAGGGCGATGCAAACGAGGAAGTTCAAAGCCTGGCTGAAATCAAGGCCTTTCGCTCAGCCTTTCTCCTACGGGGTTGATCGGATTCGATGTCGACCTGCCATCCTGCTCTGGCGAATCTTCAAGGTGCTTCCATGCGTGACCCAGGCCAGCGAGAGTTGACGCTGCCAGCCCACCCCTAAATCAGAAGAAACAGGGGAAGCCAAGTGCCATCCTGGCTGCTCCGAAAGGAAGTGGGAGGCCAGTGGGTAGGGGGTCTGCATGCCAGGGCTTCCCCACCCCTCCCCTCCATCGGCCCGCCCCCCAGGAAGCCACTCGCTGCCCTGCACGCGATGCCCCTAGTGCCCGAGGCC